ACAATTGAAAAACGACTGTATACTTAGTTACTTAAGGTAAGGGTCCGGTGAAATGAAGTTTTTCTACAGCTTTAAAGTAAAACATTTTATCTTTTAGTATGTTGTAGGGGTTGTAAAAAAAGTAAATTTGGCCACCATCTCACGTCTGTAGGTCAAGCCGTTCCCAAGAAACACTAATTTAAGTGTTTAAAATAGCTCGACTTTGGCGAACTCCTTGCGCAACACAGTATGGAGTACGACCTAACGCATTGGCAGTTGTTTTTTTAAAGCTTTTTCTGGGGTCTGATCAGTGAGACATTCGCAATTTTTCTATTCAGGCAGCATCCACAATTTTTTTAAAATGTTTCCTCCAAAAAGTAACGTTTTTGGCCGATTTTGACCACTTTTAGAGCTGTTATAAAAAATCTAGGAAGAAATTGAGTAAAAACTCACTGATCAGTCCTTAAAAACACTGAAAGAAAGTCACAAATCAAAGGGCAGCTTTCTACCTCACAACCTGTTGCGCAAGAAGTTTTTCAAAGTTCCACAAAATGTACTCTATCAACAACAGGCTTTTGTCGAAGAAGCTACAAGAGCCATTGGGTAGACCGATCCAAAATAAAAAAGCAAAGATGTTTCGTGAACTTTAAATGGTTTCCCCAAAGGAGAGAGGTCCAAACAATGTTTTTTTCGGCGAAAACTCATATAAGAATATTTGTACAAAAATTGCAATTTTTTCACCGGACCCTTACCTTAACGGGCACCTCGGCCGGCGGGCGTGAGCGGCCAGAAAGCGATAAGCCAAGAAGAGATACGGTGCATGCTCGTTATTATAGTGGAATATTTTTGTAGGCCATTTTCGGAACAAATTTAAATTTTACGTCCGATAGTAACCGCTGGACTAAAACAAAAGGCACGCGACTCGAGGGCCACAAGTTAGCCTCGTTAACACGTTCAGTGCGGCGTGACCACATGGTGGTCTTGCCCCCAAAACAACCAAATGCACAGCCGCACTTAACATGTTATGCGCAATGAGGGAGCTCATCCGTACGTGACAGGAAAAAAAATGAAAATGAAAAGACATTGAAATCCCTAACGCAGCCAGACTGTTTTGTTTTAGCCTGACTTCTTGTACTCACGAGACCGCACAGTGATGGTTGTCCTTCTGTGTGTCGCTGTGCCACTGGGGCGGCTGCAGCGCTACAACCCGGTCGAAGGGTCACTCACAACTGACCTCTCTCTTCTCTCGGTGGTGGGCTCGCTCTCCAGCCTTATCAGCAAACTCGTGACCGACACACTCGCCGCCGCACGTGACGACGGCCTGAAGCCGCGCGCGAAAATACAAACTGCGTCTGCGCGCCAGACAAGCCGCACTTGAGAACGCAAGCGTGTGAATGCCGCACACTTTTGTAGGTGTTTGAATGCCCATGCTTAAAATTGAGGGAGTGAAGGTGTAAATTTTCATTTGAAATCCGCATACTTGTGGCTCCACGTGCACGGTAAAAAATAACATTAAAAAATAACAGCAAATCTCTGTTAATTTTTTCATTGACTCCGTGTTGTTGTAGAACAACAAAGGTTGTTCAGGGACAACAAAAGTTGGCCAGAAACGATTAAAGTTTTTCAGGTGCACAACAAAGGACCTGTCCATCTACAACAAAAGTTTTTCAGAAACAACAAATGTTGTCCAGCAGCAACAACAGTTGTTCAGAAACTACAAATGCTGTTCAGCATCAGCGAAAGTTGTTATGAAGCACAGCAAAAGTTGTTTGGGAAGAACATAGCTGTTTCGGAAAATCATTGCCGTTTTGCAAGAAACATTGCTGTTTTGCAACACTTGGGTGTCCGGCGAGCGGGTGCAGTAGGACTACGCCCAGCCCGTCCTGTCCGCCTTGTCTGCGTCCCGTGCGCCTCATCAGTCGACCTGCTTTTGAAATATGAGCGTGGCTTACCGGGACACTTTGGTTCGCCATATTCGAGCGGGCTACCATTTTAACGGTCCCTTATTGACCTGCTCCGGGCCTCGCCTCGGCCCCGTCCTCCCCATCAGCCACTTCCCCGACAGGCTCTAATCCGGGCTTACGTCGCACTTACTGAACTTCATACGGAGAGGATTTAGGCGGCGCCTGCGCTGGCGTAGAGGCGAGAGTGCGGGGCAGCAGGGGGGTGCGCTTACCGCACACCGGACCAGGCGCCAGGACGCCCGAGGGAGCGCTGACTAAACTAAAGCGTTGTATCGGCCAGCGATCGCTGGAGATGTTTGTCCAAAGGGCACTTTACTACAAATTCACATGTCTACCGATTTTTCTGGTTTCCTCTTTTTTTCTCATTTTTTTAATTGATTTTTTAAATTAATTTTTCCTTGGTTTTGGCCTGTATTTTTCTGATTTTTTTTTCGGAAGGAGCAATGTTGCCTTGTGATGATGATTAGTTACAGTGTTCCCAGCTTTAGTTCGAAGATCTTTTTTTGGATAATTGGGAACACCGTTAAGAGGGCAAAATGGCCTTTGCTCTGTATGGGTCGGGCGCCCGGCGCATAGGCCGTGCCGTCGAGCGCGCCTGTCCGTCGGGCTTGCCTACCCTACCCTTTGCAGGCGCTTGTCGACCCCGGGCTTCTGCTGCGAGGAGTAGGAAGGGGACAACTCTGGTCCTGTCTGAAACTTTTTTAAGAAGCGGAATTCGACGAACGAGCGGCGAAGCAGTTACAGACCTTAAAGCGACAGGTGTCCTTTCACACAAATGTGTGATGATTGGTACTTTTTCTTCCACCTCTGCCTCCTCTCCTCTTTGCAGTCAAATCGGCCCCGCTCTCTATATGCCTGATGATTGTCACCTTGTCTGTGGTATTGCCTTCATGAGTTTCGCCTTAGCTGGTGGATGTTTGTGTGTGTGTGTGTGTGTATGTGTGTGTAGAGAGAGCCAGACAGAGACAGAGAGTTGAAGGTCGTGGACACGAAGGAGGGAGGGGGTGGGGAAGAGGTGGTGATGATGCGTGCGAGCGTTGCGGTGTGTCGTTCAACACGTCAGCGGCGGCTCTGGGCGACTTGCTGACTGACGCGGCCTACACTGAGGGCTGAGCACAGAGCGGAGCACAGAGCGGAGCACAGAGCGGAGCACGGGGCCCATCCAGCAGGCATTGTTATTCATGCTCCAAATGGCACAGCCGTGTTTGCCACTCCCCTATCACTCCTCCCCCCCTCCTTCCCCCGTCTACCACTTTTCACCAACCCCTGATCCCTCTTCCCTACCTCCCCTTCCCCTTCCCCACCTCCTACCCCCTCCCCCTTACTTCCGACTTTTGTTTAGTACGGTTGCATTCTTTTTGATTCTCAGCGAACTTTTCTATCCTTATTAAGAGAAGGCAGGTGCTAGCAAGGGAAATTAATGCTTCAACACACAAACCATCGGATCAGGTTAACTTTGATTAGTCGCTTGTTACAATAATTTATGATGGCGACGAAAAATATTTACATCGCCGATCAATAATTTCGGTGACAATGACCAACTCATGCCAAAAACCTAACCCAAAAAATTATGCTTTAGCTAAAACTGTTCAATAGTCGAAAGAAGAAGCAACAAGAACAACAAACAAATCCAAGGCAAGGGGGTAGGAGTCGCAGCGGTGACTGACGCGTTTGGTAATATCTCCTTGCGCACTCAGCGGGCTTCTTGCTTTAAGGGAGCCGCCGGGGGCAGAAGTTATTGGCGGTTGAGTTTCCAGGGGGAGAGGTGGGGGGGGGGGGCAGGTATGTGGTCTCCCGCCGCCGTGGTCTCCGCAGGCAGCAGTTTGCGCCGAGTGGCTGCGGCGGGCTGCGCGGCACAACCCCGCCTCCCCGCCTCTCCGGGAATAGTTGACGCCAGAGTGCGCGCCTTAAGAAGACCACACCGTCCCATTTCCTTTCCTCTCCTTCCTCCCCTCCTCTCTCTATTTCTCTCTCTCTCTCTCTCTCCCCCCC